AATCAAGCTCCTATAATCACAACGCTACTTGTAAACCAACAAGTCTGTCTCATGATTATAAAACTCTAGCGCTATTCCACTAAAAGCCTAGAGCTGCACTCTCGATTTATATAGCGTATTTACAAAGCTCTGATTAGCTCTAGTCCATGACTCAATATATTAGTGTATCATCCCCATAGGATTCCATAATCAACTTGAGGTCTAGTTCCATTTTACCTTCCCGATTACATTTATCTTTTGTTCTATTATCATACCATCAGAAAAATACTATTCGTATCATTACAAACAGTAAACCATTAGATAACACAGAGTAGTCCAATGGCTGAGCGCTCATATTTTTCAATCCACTGATAATGCATAAGAGGATATCATTGACTCTTTATAGGAGCTATGGATTCCACTATCTATGAAGTAAATAAGCTCCAGCTAGAATAAATTATATTTATTTAGAGGGAATTTTTAAAGATAAGTTCCAAAATTTCCACTCTTTCTCTCTCCTTTCACGCATCTCTCTCATGCTCTCGTTCACTATCTCTCCTCTCACATTCTCTCACAAAATCGTCCATGGCCAAATACTCACTTTGAGATTCGGACCTCCGTTTTTGACATAGCCAGTGTCAATAGAGAGATCTTGACGACCTGAGTTTAATGACATGTGGCATGACCTCCAACTCCGCCGGAAGCAGCCGCAATTGCCGGCAGAAGTTTTGAAAATACCCATTTCTTCCCGTCGTGATATCTTCGCCATCTGACCTCCGATTGAGGTGATTTCAGTCCCTATGGACTCAATGCAGCGAGACAAAGAAAATCTACTCATTTTCATAGCTCAATGATGGCCAAAGCACCACCTTCCATGGTGGCCAGCATCACCACGCCGCCACCGTTATTTTTCTCTCTCCAGGCCGCCGTGGATGTCACCGCCCCCACCAATCAACTTAGAAGCCGACGCCCAGTAGATCCCGACCAGCAGCCACCGTCGCCGTCATCGCTGACTGAAAAATGAAGCCACTGCCGTCGTTTGTGGAGGTAAGAGGTGGTTCCGATGATCTAATCGTTGGATCGTCGTGAGTTTGGTGTCAAAACACTCAGAAGGAGAATCAAGATCAAAGTCGCCAGATTTTACCGATGTTTTTGAGTTCGATCCGAGTAATTAGAGGTGGAATTTGGTGAATTCAATTCGACCATTGAACTTAGGAGGTCGAAAACTAGTGGGAGCCAAAGTATCATTGCCCTCCGACCACCGGAGCCACCGCATGCGCCGCCACGCGCCGCCGCGGGTGGCCAACTCTGGGGAGCCTCAGTTTTTGATGTTCCCGACCTCCGTTCACCGATTTGAGACCATATTCTGACTCGTTTCGGCATAATGAACACAACGGTGACCTCTGTTTAACCAAATTCAATTATGATAAGAATGGTCTGGTACTGGTTGCACACGGATCGAGGTGATTCAGACTAAACAAGTGGATATCAGAATTGAGTGTTTAATGCTTCGATGTTCCTCAAGGATTATTCATTGTGCTTGCAGTTTTTCCTAGAATTAGTTTTGAGGAATACGCAGACAAACACGACAAGCGAGATACTTTCAGAACTGCTTAGCTCGGAATCCAGGCAAGTACAAACATTGCTTACAGTTTAATTAAGATAGTCGTATAAGGCGTATGATTTTCATGAGATACGTTAATTATGAGATTCATGAATTATGTTTATGTTTATGTTAAACGTCGTATATAGTTTTCCAATAAAACTTAACGGTTTTCAAATAAGCGTGTAAGTGAAAATCGTAAAAATTGATACGCTAGACCTTTAATTTTACGACGTTAAATACGGATCTCAACACTATTATGAGGCCGTCAAGTGAGGTAAAGTAAAGTTTATTAAAAGTGCATTATGGATAAGATAATTAATGAATTATCAATTTAGCACAAATTTGTAATGGCAATTAAAGAAGGCAGAATTATGGGGATTTAATTAATTCTTATAATAGAAATTATAAATTTTTATGATTCTTAACAAAAAGGATAAATATGTTCTAAGGAAGGATTTAATTCCTTTATGCTATGCTAAATAAAAATAGCATACTAAAAGTTAATCTCACCCTATAAATGGGCATTCCTTTACATAACTTAGCAGTAGAGGATAGAAGATCTGAGTGAGTAGAAATTCTGCTTTAACTGGAAATCAGGTAAGTAGGAATCTTGCCTACAATATGAATAGATTTTAAAGAAAAGAGTTGCACATGTTATATACGCATGTTTATGCTTTAAGTATTGTATGCGATGCTATGTCATGTGCATACACTTAAGCAATGCACATGAATTATATGTGTTTGAGTACATTCAATGTTATGTATGCTATGCTATGTCTTACTGCATACACTTAAGCAATGCACATGAATTATATGTGTTTGAGTACATTCAATGTTATGTATGCTATGCTATGTCTTACTGCATACACTTAAGCAATGCACAATAATTATATGTGTTTGAGTATATTCCATATTATAGTATGATATGCTAGGTCATATTGCATACACCTTAATAAGTCAAGAGGAACTTATAAGAAGAAACTCAGTTGAGTGCCGTACCAGCCTCTGCGAGGGAGGTGACGCATGCTCCCTAGGGAGAAGAAAAAAAAATAAAATAATGTCCTCTGAGAGGGAGGCATTCAGTTCAGTTATAATCACGGTGTCATGGGGGACCTTGTAAACCCTCACGTCCCGATGATTGCGCGCAAGTGGTACGAGCACTCGGGCCCATCAGTAAGAAAGATAAGATAAGATAATAAGATCATGATAAGACATCATAATTAAGCATAATCAGCTCATGCATATTTATTCATGTGTACTTACAGTTATGTTGCGAGAGATAGTTCCTACTTACGGAGTGAAAGCTCATTCAGATATGTTCATGCTGTAGGTAAGAAATCTATCAGCAATTCTTGAAGGGCAGTGGCGAGCGGCGGATGAATGGTGGAGATGGGAATGGATACCATTAACACTTAAATCTTCCGCAGTAAGTTTAAGTACAATCATGTATAAGTATATATATGGTTCAAAGGTTTCAAGCACGTATGTTTAAAAAGTATATGTACATATGTATGTTAAGAGAACCAAGGTTGTAGCTAACAACCCTAGTCTTGAGTATTTAAGTTTTAGAACGTTGCAACAGTGCATGCAACAAATAAATGAATTTTAAACATGACTATTTAAATGACTGATTTTGAAAGGATTTTGAAAGGACTTTAAGAAGTACTTGAATTTAAGATTTCTCACAAAATCCGTTTTAAAGTCAAATTAGATGGCCCGATTGAATTGGCTAGTTTGAGAAAGACTTTTAAAGAGTATTTGAAACAAGAGTTAAAACGCCGCTTAGTTTGAAAGATATGGTTTATGAAATTATTCGTTCTCATATTTAAAAAAAAAAATGTTCCGCAAATTTTAAGAAATTCCAGTAAGTACAAGTTAATTTTCAGTTACAGTGATGGCCACCTAGGAGGGTCGTCATAAGTATTGGGCTACATCACCTTTTAAACTACAAGATGAGTCATAAAATGTCCCTCAAACTTCAATTTGTAATATCTATTCGACCCGAACTTTAAAAATCTAGCAAATTTTTCCTTAGATATGAGAATGGCCTAGATCTTTTCTGATGCAGCCTTCTTGGACACAAGATCAGGGGCAGGAGTGATCGTTGTAGGCTGTAGAGCTTGCAGTTGCAGTTGCGGTTGCGGTTTCTCTGAACAGTTCAGTGATGGTGATTAGAGACTGTAATGGGTTATTTGGAACCTATACTCAAACGGTCAAATCCAAATTATGATTTTGCTTAATGATTTTTATCTCACAAAAGGTTTGAATTTTAAAATTTCTCACAAAGTTCCTTGAAACCTACATTCAAATCGCTCGAATCCAAATGATTCTGCACAGTGAACCATTTTTTAAAAAAGGTTTCTCATCGTATAAAATATGAAGAAAACTCGATAGTTTGAACTATAATTCACTGGTAAGAGATTTTAAACTATCAAATATAATGTGAAAAAGTATTAAATATGTTGAGCACAAACTAAAAAATAAATCTAAAAACAAATACGATCATACGTCTCACCATCCCTATGTTTGAGTGGCTTATTATCTTTAACAATATTTAACTAGTTTTTCAATACATAACTACAAACTAGCAGTAGTCTTACTAATGAAATAAATACATAGTCCATAACCTTACCAAAATAAAAATACTGCAGTTCATAAGTCGCTGCTTATTTAATAATTTTATTTGGGCGAGTATTACAACTAAACAAAAGTACTCCGGTGCTCTGGCTTGAGAAAATCGCATGCGCAAATGACAGAAAAGGCCTAACAATGAAAGATGTCAATGATAAACATAAAATGAATCACTCAAAAGAAGTAATGTAAAATTTAGATAAAACTCGGTAATCAAATAATTAGAAGGAAGTTAATAAGCTTACTCATGCTCCTTACTGTCCATGGACTCCCCTCACTTTATGATATTTCTTGGCTCTGTATGGGAAGACAAGTTACAATTATATTCAACTCCATCATATTCCTTTGCGCCGGAAAGTTTTTTTTTTTTAAGCAAGGAAACTATGAAAAAACAATTAGAAATATTTATATATTTTAATTACAATAAGTTGAGGTACAATGTGGCTCTGCCACTAACATTGGAAAGGTGTAAAAAAAAAAATGAAAAGGAAAAGAAACAGCAAAGAATTGTATATATCCTCCTCTTTTTCATAATCACAAACAAAAAGCAAACAAACGTGCACCATATGTATTCACACAGGTGTTTAGGACTAAAAATATTCATGACAGATCACGAACTATTCAAATGGAAATTGAAAAAACAAAAATTCAGTGATGAACACAGGAAAATATAAGAAAAAAGTAAAACTAATTAATTTAAGAGATCAAATTTTCTATCTGAACCTACAGATAAGCGTTCAAGGGAATCTCTCATAATCTAAATTTAAAACGAAAATATTTTACCTCACAATTGTTGGAGACCAGAATCGTGCAGACGGTAGACTTGGTCATCAGCATAACGGAAAAAGACAAATGGTACTACATGCTGAACGATATGATAACTGTGTCCTCCATTTGGATTCACACTTGCCACGAATTCATCTGCCATGTCGAAGAATTGTAGGAGTTTAAGATTTCTTAAATGTTTTATGCCAGTTGGCACCTCCTTCATTTGTGGAGAAGGCCCCAAGACAAGCTTTTCCAGGGCGCGCAATGCTCCTTCCTCTATTATCAATGAACTCAACCATTTCAAGCCGTGAAGTCGGAGCACCTTAAGTTTTGGGAAGACACCTTCTCTAAAGTGTAGTTGTTCACCGACAAATGCATCATCGACGATCTCAAGCTGCACTAGCTCGTGCAGATTACCAAGGACTTTCAATGGATCATCTCCGAATTTCGAAAAACGAATTACAATCTTAGCAAGATTTTGAAGTTTCATGATCCACCTCGGCAATGTCATTAAAGGACCCAGTAAATAGAGACGGCGAAGAAATTCGGGGGGATGTGAAATGGAATCTAAATCAAGTGTTTCATCTTCACCTATCGATCTCACTATAAGGGATTCGAGGTATTTCATTTTCTCAATGCAACCACATAGACTTTTTCCATCTCGATTTCTAACTTTCCAAATGCCCAATGTTCTTAACTGCGTCAAAGTTCCAAGCTCTTCTATTGTACAAGCACCGTCGATGTTGGCCTCAATGCTGTATAACTTCTGCAAGTGTTTGAAGCACTCGATTTTCTGTATTTTTATTCCTCTTATTCTGTCGAAAGAAAAGAGTTCAGTGTTGTTGACAAAACTCCAGCCAAAAAGATGACGTAACTTACTAAGCCGATTAATACTTGCAGGAATTTCATAAACCAATGATCGCTTTAGATCCAAAGTCTCCAAGTTTACCAATTTTCCTATGGAATTTGGGAGCAGCTTCACTTTTGTATCACGCACACTTAAATATCTCAAGTGAAACAAGTCTCCAATATCTTCAGGGAGATGATCTAAACAAGGAGCGTCTTCAAAATCAAGTACTTTTAGGAGCTTGACACTTGTGGCAAGTGCATTAACAGTAGAATTGAGCATCTCATTATTCCCATTGAACATAAAAAGACAACGAACCCCGGAAATTTCAGTTTCTTGCAAATTTTTGTCTGAGCTAAAGATTATTGATAGACGACGAGCAACTCCTTCAAAAGGTGGTGACTTATCTGATAAAACTCGGCAAAATCTTGATTCTTTCATCTTTTGTGAGATGACAACATGAAGAAGATCATGAACACGACAACTCTTTGCTTGCCCTTCATCGTTTGCCTTTGATATTTCAACTAAACCTTTATCTATTAGCTCAAATAAGTATTCTTTTGCAACAACCTCCAAGCTTTTGTTCGTTTGAGGTTTCACAAAACCCTCCGCTATCCACTGGCGAATTAATCTGCCGCGTCTAATGGAATAGCCCTTTGGAAAAATTCCAAAGTACAATATGCAACATTTGAGGTAGTAAGGTAAATCAGTATAACTGAGTGATAGTATTTTTGTTGTGCTTTTGAGATCAGAATGATTGACCAACTCCGACCTGAGGGTTTCATAAAACTTTTGCCATTCATAAGGGACCTTGTTTTTAGTTGACAGAAGACCAGCAATGGCGACAATTGCAAGGGGTAACCCATGGCAACTTGCAACAATCTCGCGAGACCAATATTCTAAGTTGGCAGGACAACACCGACCAGGTTCCGTCGAATGGACTTGGACGGAAGATACTGATCTTTTGCAAAAATTAGCAACCTCTTTCTTCCTTGTCGTGATCACCATCCTTCCACCATTTTCTGGTAAAGCAAAATTTACATCTCCCCAAAATTCTTTATACCAGACATCATCGAAAACAATAAAATATTTTTTGTTCTGCAAGTACTTTATCAATTGCTCTGTTAGTGATTGCTCATCCATTGTATCAATAGTTACTGGAGCGGATGCTTCAGTTGCTTCGTAAACCTTCCTTATTAGGTTTCTTAGTAGCTCCTTTGCACTGTATGGTTCTGAAACTGTAATCCAAGCATGACAATCAAAGTCTCTTTTTACATAATTGTAAACTTGTTTGGCGAGAGTAGTTTTTCCTGAACCCCCAATCCCAACTATTGAAATCACAATGCGTTCTGGAGAATGTGTTTTCAAAATTTCAATCAATTCATTTCTAGGAGATTCAATACCCACAACGTCAGCTTCTCTAAGGAAATAGGCTGCCCTACGAGGGTCATTCCATCGTTGAGGCACATCACTCATGGGTGTTTGTTGTAGAGAATCAAAGCCATACCTTGTACTTCTGTCCTTAATACCTCGAATGGTTTCTTTGATCTCTCGTATTTGTGTCGCAATGTGATGCTGCGGTTTTAGTTTTGTGACAAAGCAAGCAATTTTACTGAGGAAAGCAATGAATCGATGCCGATCAGGATGATTTATCGTCATGTGATATATATACACATCAATAACATCTTCTATTTTCAATGCGACTTCTCTTAGCTCTTCAACCCATGCTTTAACGCCATCGCCAATGTCACCTTCGACTTCTGCCTTTTGATCAGCATCCTTGAGGAAAGCCCGAATGAACACAAGTTCCCTATTGATTTCTGAAACTTCTCCATGAACACCTCTCAACAAGTTCACTTCTTCAGCCAATAGTGGAATTAGCTTGTCTATAAGAGAGCAAACCGCTGTCTCCGCCATCTTTGCCTCACTTCTCTCTGTCTGCAATGCAAGCAAATATGAGCTGTACAGTGTCTTTTAGATATCCAATGCAATGTAATATACGTTTAATTTCTTCGATGCACTTTCAAGGCATACAACTTGTTGATAGGAAAATGGTGAACTTATACGCACTTTCAAGGCATACAACTAATTGGTTGCCGTTGAATTCTTATATTTCAAAGCTTTCTTTTTCTTGTGGTTTTTCCCTTTCCCTTTCCCTTCAGGCAGGTATGAAGTCTTTTTTTTTTATTACAAAACAAAAGATAATAATTAATGGACATTAATTAGAAATAAGAACATCTCCAATGTGACGCTATAGTTGATGTCTCACTGGTAAATTTGGCATTTGAGTGTAAAAACGCTTACTAGTGTAATGTTTATACAAATTTGCGGTATGCTATATACTTTGTGGTGAATTTGCCACCAAATATAGCATGGCAAATTTGACATTTAAATATTATTGGTTGATATGTTTACTTCTTTATTTAATCATTACAACATTTTTATTTTTAGATTGTTTTAAAATTAAACATTTACTTTTACAAATTTCAAAACTTAGAGCCCGATTGATTCATGAGTTTGTGGTGGTTTTAATCCAATATCTAATTTACCAGTGTTTGGTTGTTATAAACATTGAACCTGAAATGTGATTTAGAATCGATATAACCCCC